AAAAAAAAAAAAAAAAAAGAAAAGCAGCACTGATCCTTCCTGTAAGTGCTCTCCCATGCATTACCTCCTTAGATCCTGACAAACACCCTGTGAAATAGGTCACATGGGTATTATCTCAACTGAGGAATTTGAATTTCCAGTTCTACTGCTCATTATTTATGAGGTTTGAAGCATGTCACTTAACTTGTTTACTCATGTAAAATGAGAATAATGAGTCATCTTGCACGTCTTCTTTTTCCTCCTGGAAATGTTCTGTGTATTTTGCACGAAGTGTCTACAAGTAGAACTTGGCCAGACCTAATGCTAGCCTCATCTTAGTCATTCTCCTGGGATTTCAGTCTTCAACTCAAAGTCACCTCTCACACTACAGGTCACACTACAGGCCCTTCTGCCAGCTGCCAATGTCCCAGCTGACCGCCACCCCGGCAAGTGCTCTAGCAGATGAGCCAGTGCATATCCGAGTGACAGGCCTGACCCCGTTGCAGATAGTGACCCTCACGGCATCCCTGAAGGATGAGAAGGGGTATGTGTTCCAGTCTCAAGCCTTCTACAGGGCAAACGAGGTTGGTGAACTGGACCTAACAGAGGCTTCTTCATTTGGAGGAGACTATGTGGGGGTCCACCCAATGGGTCTCTTCTGGTCTCTGAAGCCCAAGAAGGCTTTCCGGAGGCTGCTTAAGCAGGATGTGATGAACAGCCCCTTTTGGGTCACTCTGAATGTCTATGACTCAGTTTTTCTGCAAGTTTCCACCACAGATCAGCCTAAGGCCAGCCAGATGGTACAGCGCTGGTTCTCGGGCCCTGGGGTACAGCGGGTGCAGATCCGGGAAGGTCGTGTGCGAGGAGCCCTTTTTCTCCCTCCAGGTGAGACTAATCTTTGGTGATATAGAAAACATTGTTGATAAATATAAAAAACAAAAACAAATGGCACCAAATTATTGGAGAACTAGTATTTTAATACATGACAGTTTACAACCAACATGCAGTTTTGTGCGTGTGCATGAAGGTAGAAGTCACTTTGCTCATCCTGTACTTCCCCTGATATTTACTTGACCCTCTTTCCCCTCTTTTGATCCCATTCTCTTTTCTTTCTGTTGCTTTCAGGGGAAGGTCCTTTCCCAGGGATCATGGATTTGTTTGGGGGCCGAGGGGGTCTGGTTGAATTTCGAGCCAGTCTTTTGGCTTCCCATGGCTTTGCAGTGCTGGCATTAGCATATTTTGGCTATGAAGATCTGCCTGCGGAACTGGGGGAGATCGACCTGGAATATTTTGAGGAAGCTGCTAACTTGCTACTAGCTCATCCCAAGGTATTTTTTTTTAAGTTTATTTATTTATTTTGAAAGAGAGAGAAGGAGAGAAAGAAAGAGAGGATGAGTGGAGGAGAGGCAGAGAGAGAGAGGAAGAGAGAGAATCCCAAGCAGCCCCACTGTGGGGTTCAAACTCAGGAACTGTGAGATCATGACCTGAGCTGAAATCAAGAGTTGGACGCTTAACCAACTGAGCCACTCAGGCACCACAACCCAAGGTATTTAAAATACATTCCATTCTACCTGTTGCAAGGTATAATGTTGCAATTATAGTGAAAAAAAAATCAGAAATGTTTGTTTTACCTATTTTACCAATCTATTTAGACTTGGGCAGAGCAGAGTTTACACTTAAAATGAGGATAATATCTACCTTGTAGGATTGTTGGGATCATTGATGATCAGCTTACTGGCACAAAAGACAATAAATGTAGATATATTATGGTCATTTTCAATGGGGAAAAAAAGCCAAGACTCCTTACATTTGAAGTGCATGTGACTTGTCATCAGTGGCTCTTCAATTTTATCATCCACTGATCTCAAATCATGATTTCTCTGACTTGAAGTGTTCTCAAACTTCAGTGATTGTCTCTGCATGGGACAATGCTGGAGTAAGTCACACCAAAGAGTCTCGAGACTAAGAACATGCAGAAGTTCAGTTTTAGGGCTGGGCCACAGGATTAGAGGAGAATTATCAGCAAAATGGATGTGACTGCACCATCTGATTAGCTAAATTAGCTCTTCAGGTATCAGATCTAGGGACAGAACTAAGCCTAAAGTAAGTATCCAAGTCTAGAAGCCAAGATAGGGAAATGAATCTGGAGAGGAAGGATCATTTTAGAGCTCTGTCAAGTCTTGTTATACCATTGAAAATGTCATCCATGGCCCGGAAGCCTTGGTATCAGGTGATGAATGTGAATGTGTGATTTTCTAAGCATATTTGGCTCTTTGTAAAGGACTGTCCAGATAAAATGTTTTCAAGTTTAAAACATTTTTCATTTCAAATTTAACTATTTGTGACATTATCCAAGGAGAAAGAGCAATTGTCAAAATTCATTTAAAAATTTTTAAAGTTTATTTTTTTGAGAGAGAGACAGCATGAATTGGGGCAGGGTAGAGAGAAACTGAGAGAGAGAGAGAGAGAAAGAGAGAGAGAGAATCCCAAGCAGGCTCTGTGCTGCCAGCGTGGAGTCCAATATGGAGCTTGATCCCACGAAACCATGAGGTCATGACCTGAGCTGAACCCAAGAGTCAGATGCTTAACCAGTTGAGTCACCCAGATGCCCCAAAATTCAGTTTAGATTTAGATTCATCAGAAGAGGTGCAATTCCCACCTCTGTCCCTTGATATTGTTGTCACCTTAAGCAATACTTGTAAACTTCCTGAATCTCAGCACAAGGACAAGCAGAGACAACCTATGTGTAGAGCATTTAGCTGAGGGCCCAGCATATATAGTAAGCTCTCAATAAATCCATCTTGTCATCTTTGCCTATCTGGTTTTTCCCCCTCTCCCTTCCCCCACGTCCTCAACCAGTCCCAAAGTGTTTTAGGGTCTGTTCCCGAATCTTTCTCGATACCTCGCGCCCTCTCCACACTCCCAGCCACTGCTTTAGTTTGTTGTCATCACTGCCCGCCTGTGGGACTGCCATAGTGTAGTTTCCTATATCGTCCCTTGCTCCCCAGTCCTGTTCTCTTATGGATGGTTCCCAGACTTGGGAGCACATTGGATTTCCCCCTGGATATGCTGTATTATCAGAGTCTTGGGCCTGCTCAGACCTATTGAAGTAGAAACTTGAAAACTGGATCTCAGAAAGCTCTCGTTAAAAAGGATTTTTTTTTCAGGTGCTGGGCATACAAGTGTAAGCAAAGTAAACATATCAGGTGGCTATGTATTTGCTACTGTCTGTCCAAAATTCCCTTCCTTTCCCTACTCATATTGTTTCCCTCAAATTTTATTTAATTAATTTATTTATTAAAGTATAGGAGTGGTCCTTAGGTGCCTGTTGCTACTGTCTGTCCAAAATGCCCTTCCAAAACTACTCATATGGTTTCCCCCAAGATTTTATTTATTTATTTATTTATTTATTTATTTATTTATTTAAGTATAGGAGTGGTCCTTAGGAGCCTGGTATCTGACTTTAGGATGATTTTTTTTTTTAACATTTATCATTTTTGAGAGAGACAGAGAGACAGGGCATGAGTGGGGGAGGGGCAGAGAGAGAGAGAGGGAGAGGGAGACACAGAATCCGAAGCAGGCTCCAGTCTCTGAGCTGTCAGCACAGAGCCTCATGCGGGGCTCCAACCCATGAACCGTGAGATCATGAACTGAGCCAATGGAGCCACCCAGGAACCCCCGTAAGATTTTATTTAAATTTGAGTTAGTTAACACTTTTCTCTACTATCTTCCAAACTTCTCCCCTCCCTCTGTTCCCTTAGCCTTCTTCAGAATGAAGGACCACCTTCTATGACCTACTACTTTTCCTATTGACTGGGCACTGGAATTCAATTGTTTATAGAATCCAAGTCTTTAATCTTTACACCCCCAATGCTTTCATGATTAGCTCTTGGATTATTGGATGTGCAAAACCTCCGTTGCTGTAAAATACTATTTAAATATGAATAAAATAAAATATTCTAAAGAACCCAGGGAAATCTCTTTTCCTAGCCAGAGAGAAGAATTTTATCTTCTTTGTGAGGTTAACCTGCTTCTACTCACTTGATGTTGAAGGTTGCTGGTTCACTTAAACTCTTTTTTGCTTTTACAGAACTCTGCTTTTGATGAAGAGTTTTTATTTCTACTGTTCCACTAGATCCTCCTAACAATCCTGCAGCGTAGGTAACGTTAACATTCCCCTAAGATAGTAAGGCTTTCAAAGGGCAGGTAGGTTATGTTCTCAGTCATAGAAGCTGGTAAACCCGAGGGCCAGGACTCCCCCCCATTATTTTCTGACTGCTTCGTCACACTAGCTTGCTGGCCTATAAGGCAGCTCCTTCGAGTATGACACGTGATGGGTTCCTTTTATTTTGTGCTTCAGATCCAACCGCCAGGAATCGGACTATTCTCTGTGAGCAAAGGTGCAGAGATCGCGCTGGCCATGGCCTGCTTCCTGAAGCAGGTGGTAGCCACCGTCTGCATCAACGGGACCAACGCCATCTATGAATTTCCGCTCAGGTACAAAGATCTGGTTATAACACCCATCCCCACGTTTCTGGAGCGCCTGCAGTTTGATGTCTTAGGGGCCGGGCGCTTCCGCCACTACAGGGGGAATGCCCGGGATGAACTGAATCAGAAGAGCGTGCTTCCTATTGAAAAGGCCCAGGGTCCGATCCTCTTCATTGTAGGAGAGAGTGATGAGTGCTTGAATAGCAAGGACTATGCGGAGCAGGCCCTGGAGCAGCTGAGGAGCCACGGGAAGAACAATGGAAGGATGCTGGTATACCCTGGGGCTGGCCACCTCATAGAGCCTCCCTACACACCCCTGTGTTATGCTTCCCCACAAAGCAACTTTTCCCGGCTCTTGCTCTGGGGAGGGGAGCCGGTTGCCCACGCGGCAGCCCAGGAGCACTCCTGGGGAGAGATCCAGAAGTTCTTCAGGGAACACCTTACTGAAACCAGAAGAAAACTCTGAGCAAGGGCTAAGGGTGATGATGCACTGGGGAGATAATGAAAGGAAGGCAGGGATATGATGGAAAGAGGGGGCTCTTTTGATTTTTCTAGATTCAGTTATTTTGAACCAAATGGAAGGAAATTGGACAAAATCAAAGGACAAGGGCACAGGTGCATCTGAACTATTTGGGACAAATTTGTATGTGATTTGAATTTTTGTAAACCGAATCTTAGTTTATATGCACCAGGATACATCAAAATTGTGATACCCTTGCCAATTGAATAACCTTTGTACCCCAGTTAGGGATACCTTGGGTCCAAGTATTTGCCAATCTAGATGAATTCCCTGGGACTTCCAAGTGGTAAAAATAACATTTTATGTTTAACACTGGGTTTCTGACATTTGATATGAAAAGTTCTAATGCCTCCATCAGATGTAATGCTTGCTATAGATTTTCAATAGATATGTTTTCTCAGAATAGTGATGTTTCTTTTTATCTCTAAAATATATTTCTTTTTACCATTTTAATAAGGACTGGGGTTGAATTTAATTATGTGCCTTTGTAGCATTTATTGAAATTAGTTAATGTATTGAAAGCAATTAGAGCAGCAAATAGAACAGATACATAGCAATTACTGTATCAGAATTTGCTGTCATCATTTTCATACTGCCTTCTGCCTTCAGTCTGTTAATGGGGTGAGTGACATTCATTAATGGACTCATTTTACTTTTGTATCTAATTTTACTAGATTCTTTTCTTATATTGACTAATTTGAGTTTTAAATTTTCTTTTGGAGCCAACCTGGCCAAGAATTTCACCCATATTTTATAGACCCCATTTGTCACTTGTAATTTTGCACATATCCTGTTATTTATGTGCATGCCTTCTCTTTTTTCCTCTTAGTCTGACTTGCCAAATATATATATTTTTAATTTTATGTATCTTTTCCAAGAACAGTTTTTGGTTTGTTTATTGGTCAACTCTTTTTTTTTTTCCTGAGTCCTTGATTTCTTTTTCTTTTAGTATTTAGTTTTGAGAGAGAGACCGAGACAGAGACAGAGAGAGAGAGAGACAGAGAAAGCTGGTGAGTGGGGAAGGAGCAGAGAGAGAGAGAGAGGGACAGAGGATCCGAACCAGGCTCTATGCTAACAGCAGAGAGACCAATGGGGGGGGGCTCCAACCCATCAACTGTGAGATCGTGACCTGAGCCAAAATTGGGCGCTCAACTGAGCGAGCTATGCAGGAGCCCCTCTGGTTGTTGTTGTTGTTGTTGTTTATAAAACCATTCCTTCTGCCATTTTTGTGTTTATTTTTCTGGCTTCTTTACATGCAATGTTCTCATTTTGTTCATTTCTAAACAGTTTCTGATTTACTCCCCCCCACCCCCAACTTAAACCAGAGAGTAATTTTACCAAAGTACAAAGTATCATACTATAGATACTTACTGATTATAAGGGGAAGGGGTGAGGAACTTTGCAGTGGAGGGATCACATTGTTACCACTTTGACCCACTGTTTAAACTTGGCATCTTTTAAAATGGTCGTTTTTAAAAATTAAAACAATTTTTTGAGAGAAAGAGAGAGCACGTGAGCAGGGGACAGGGACAGGGGCGGGGGGGGGAGAGAGAGAGAGAGAGAGAGAGAGAGAGAGAGAATCTTAAGCAGGACCACACTGTTAGTGCAGAGCCCAACACAGGGCTTGGTCTCATGAACCATGATATCATGACTTGAGCTGAAATGAAGAGTCAGATGTTTAACCTAATGAGTCACCCAGGCGCCCCTACAAAGGTTATTTTTACATAATGTGTTTCATGACAAGATGTAATGTGGAATGCCTACCACTATTTAGATCTGTCTAACAACACTATTAAACATGAACCTAATCGAACCTTTAGATCAAACTTATTAATATAGTGGCTAGAGACCTGTTAAAGTGTACTACAAAGAGACGGTCAAACAAATCTAGGTTGTGGGTCATTCTACCACCCTGTCTCATTGGAAGTTAATTGGCACCTGATCTAAATAACTTAGAAAAGTTAGTTGCTGAAAAAATTTGGGATGTTTTCCTTGGTGAGATTTTTTTTTCCTTTTTGTTTTTGCACTGGAGTGAGCTGTGGGGCTATCAAGCATTAAAAAAAGACTTAAGAAACATATCAACCCAATGCTATTTGTGGGCTTGGATTGAACAAAGTAACTGCAAAAAAGACATTTTGGGGGGCACCTGAGTGGCTCAGTCGGTTAAGCATCCGACTTCAGCTCAGGTCATGATCTCACGGTTCATGGGTTTGAGCCCCGTGTCAGGCTCTGTGCTAACAGCTAGCTCAGAGCCTGGAGCCTGTTTCCGATTCTGTGTCTCCCTCTCTCTCCTCCCCTGCTCATGCTGTCTCTATCTCTCTCTCTCAAAAATAAAAAAAAATAAAAAAAAAGACATTTTGGGGACAATTAGAAAAAGTTGAATATGTACTGGGTATTAATTGATACTATGAAATTGTTATTTTGTTATTAGGTGTCCTAATAATATTGTGGTTATGTAAAAAGTCACTTCTACATATCAATGCATACTGAAATATTTAAAGGTGAAGGATTATGGAATCTGGGAATTGTTTTAAAATACTACAAGAATATGGCAATATGTAGATAATTGTTACATCTAGATTATGGCTCTAGTGAGGTCTGTTATAGTATTTTATCTGCGCTTGTAATGTTTCATAATAAAAAGCTCAAAAAATAAAAGATACAATCAATATATTTGCCTTTCTTCCCCCAAAGGCAAGAACTTTAGTATATGCTGTATCTTTTTCTCCATAACACCCCTATTAATTTCAGATTATTGATTTGTTTTACAATAAATACATATTTAACATAAGTAACTATGTTTCAATGTGTTTTTCATCCTTGTGGTTTCTTACAACCCGTCTTTTAAATTCTTGGCTTTATCTTCTACTTGGCCATTTTCTAAGGTGCAAACTCGAGTAACTATTTTAAAATAGCCCTAGTTACCTGAATCCTAGCAAATTTACAAGTGTCTATTTTTACCTACCTTTCAATGATAATTTTTATACCTATAGAATTTGATATGGTAACAGACTTTGGTCTTTTTATTTTGGCATCCATTGTTGTCAATGAGAAGTCTGATTCTTATTACTTTGTGGAGTTTTTTTCTTTCTCTGAAAGATTTTTACAATTTTCTCTTTGTTCTTAGTGTTCTGAAATTTCAAGTTATGAGTAGGGGCAGGGTTATCATTACCATGTTAATTTATTTCACTTTGTACTGTATGGGCCATTCCAAACTCAAGACATAGCTGTCTTCAGCTTTAGATATTTGCTTCTATTTTCTTTTTCTTTTTTAAATAGTTTTTTAATGTTTATTTATTTATTTTGAGAGAGAGAGACAGAGAGAGGGAGAGTGTGTGTGAGCAAGTGGGGGAGGGGCAGAGAGAGAGAGGGAGAGAGAGAATCCCAGGCAGGTTCTGTGCTATCAGCACAGAGCCCAGTGTGGGGCTCGATCTCACAGACCATGAAATCATGACCTGAGCCAATATCAAGAGTCTAAGCTAACTGGCTGAGCCACCCAGATACCCTGATTCTCCTCTTAATTTTCTGATCACTTTACTCTTTTCACTTTTTCCTCCAATTAAGATAATTTTGGAGCTTCTGGATATATCCTTTCTGAATATCAAATTTCTCTCATGCTCCTTTTTTGTACTCCCTGCTTCCCATGCCTGCTCACTGTATTCTTGGAGAACTTCACAGTTTAATTGTTCAACTCACTAATTTGTGCTTCAGTTGTGTCCAAGTTGTATTTAGTTAATCTTTCAGGTATTGTTCTGATGATCATTATTTAAAATTTTCCCAATCTATAATTGGATTTGTTTCCTTAAAGCCTGTTCTCATTTTTCCCTTTAGTTTTATTGAGATATGATCAACAAATGATATTGTGTAAATTTTAAGGCATGCATCTTGTGGATTATATATATGTATATATATATGTTGTGAAATGGAATATATATATATGTATATATATGTTGTGAAATGGAATATATATATATATATAATATGTTGTGAAATGACTACCACAATTAGCTTAGTTAGCATACCCATCACACTTCACATAGTTATCAATTTGCATGTGTGCATGTGTGTGGTGAGAGCATTTAAGATCTATTCTCTTAGTGAATTGTTGCAAACAATACAGTATTAGTAACTATAGTCACTTATTCCATTGTCATTTTCTAGATAGATCAGAGGATCATCTTTTCTTATTCCCGCTTTCACCCGTGGCCTTCATCAACACACCCACATTCTGTGCAGAATAAAGTCACTGTATTTAAAAAACAGTATAAACCCTTGGGATTAAGAAACCCACTGATCCCAGAACAACTTGGACATTACTTTTTAGGGATCTGATTTCAACAAAATGAAACATATCTTCTTCATGGTCTTCTTTCAAGGCTTTCCTGGGACCTCAGCTTCCAGCTCCATTATTTATTCTTCCCCTGTTGTTTGGTTAGAAAAATCTGACTAAAAATGCCTTATATAATGGGCTAATTATTGTCTCTCAAAAGAGAAATCCAAAGGAAGGATAGTTTAGGTTTGTACCCTAGCTCAGCAGTGTCCTTAAGAACCAAATTCCTTCTATTTTTCTGCTCTGCCATCCTTAACAGGTTAACTTACTCTCTTAGGCTAGACCCTCCAATTGTTCTAAGATGTTGACCACAGGCTCTGGTATCTCATGAAGAAGATCTTTAGATTTCCCCATGTCTCAGTGGCCCAAACTGGGTCACATGTTCATGACTAAAGCAATTACAAGCAAAGGAAATGAGACCACCCTAACAACTTAGACAGTCAAGACTTAACCTTATCCATCCAGCAGCATTGAAGATCATGTCCATGTGGCAGATGGCTAAAAAAGTGAAATCCATTATTAGCACGGGCTTTCAATTTGCCAATCAGCACAGTTTGCCTCACTTGTGTTTCTTATTTCCTCTATTATTTTCATAACAAATGAAAATTGTGGGTATTGGGGGGACGGAAGTACATTTCTGGTTTCTGATGCATTCCAAATATTTTCATTAACTTGTGG